GGGGGGGGGGCGGACACCAGCCAGCAGGCATAGTAGACTGACCGGTATATCATGAATGCGCTCCAGTGTTGCGGAAATACTTCCGTGGGTCCCGCGACTCATATGAGAGTAGTGATTTATGGAGAGGCAACGAAACGTCCCTGCTGCTGTAGGTGGCACAATATTTTGCCAGTTTTCTGGGCGATGCGACCACTTATCATGACGCGGAGGGTATCGTTCGTTCAAGTAGTGTTGTTTCTATTACCCTTCAAAATTAGAACTTCCTCCGACCAGTCGAAGTTCGAAAAACACCGTGAAACGGAGCTGCAGCGCTGATTTGGCCGCACCTGCTGCCGCAGTCGGGGTGGCGGAGCGTAGCTGCGGAATTTTAAAATCACCATAAAAACGATGGAAATGTGAAAAAGTGCACTTCGTGGAATGAAGGCCCTCCGTATATGATGAGACGAATCGTACTCTAGGCCTTTACATGGTGTCGCTTGATCAGAAACGCCATTTTGGACTTTCCGCAGCTACGCTCCGCCACCCCGACCGCAGCAGCAGGTGGCTGAATCAGTACTGCAGCGCAGTTCCTAGGCGTTTTACAAACTTTGGCTGGTCGGAGGAAGTTCCAATTTCGAAGGGTCATAGAAACGACATTTCTCGAGCGGAGGAGACCCTCCACGTCACTATAAGTGGCCGCGTTGCGGAGAAGTCTGGTAAATTGTTCAGCCATGTACAGCAGCAGGGGCTTTTCGTTGCCTCTCCATATAGTTCATGATGGAGCGCATTCAAATAAGAATGGTGTACACATGTCTTGGGAGTGGGGGGACATAATAACTTCGCGAAATGAATACCGTGACAAAGGACTCGGGGCTTCAAATACCTCGCAGGAGACTCAAAAGGATGGGCTCGCGCATGGATCGCAGAACGTCGTGACTATTTTTTCAGAATAGAAAACCCTGAAGGTTATTAGGTGTGTGTACTTGAAAAACAGATTCAATAGGATTATTTTTTCAAGGCGCGCTGACTGCTGGAGTACCTTGGGGAGTACCCGAGCGAGGTAAATCATACTTTGGGGTCTGCAGACGGCACCGTTCCATCGTAATGTCTATACTTGGTCTGATTCCCAGACGCCCTCGCTTCGTCTTACGTCAAGTTAGCA